GAATATTCTATTGTAACTAACTAGAGTTCGTAAGACTAGCCTCTGATCTGCATTTGATCAGGGGTAAATTTGGCGTGTCCTTGTTCAGCATGCATCATTCTCTAAAATAGTTTGATAAGTTATAGTTTTATGATAGTTGCCTGAGTAGCATGCAAGTAATGCAATGAAAACTCTGTGTAATTGCGGTCTTGAATTATGAAGAACGGTGAATTTACCAAATAAATTTCTGTGGTATTATATTATAACGCTTTCGTTTTTCCGCGGTTGAAGCGGAAAATTTTGTACATTGAGTTTAGAAGATATTGTATGTGCGAGTGGAGATACGGTATTTATCTTCGAGTGTTGAAAAGATCTCTCGCGAGTGAGCTTATAACAAACTATTTTTGTACAACTATTTTATATTTCACTTTTTTCGAATAATCTATAATCCAATATTTTTCTTTCTGGTGTATTCCGAATTCCACTTCAACTCCCGAATTTTATCTCTCAGTTGTTTGAAYCAAGAGATTCTTCCCAACCATAAGAGGCTGGAATGTTCAAGTATTTTGGGCAAAATAATGAATCGAATTGAAATTTGTAATTTKTTCTTCGTTTGTAAATGAGATAGCTCAATTCAAGTAATAAAAAAAGTGCATAAAAGATATGTAAGACAACTACAAAATCTAACAGCAGCCTATTCCTCGGACCGGCAGAATTGACACACGGTATGTGGGAATTGTCTTGCAATTGACATGAAAAATGGGATGGAAAACCTCCATACCAAATCAGTTGTAATATCGTCGAAAATATTATCCTCAGAAGGAAGCGAACGGCCAACTGGGATAAGCAGCAATGGAAGACCTTTCTGTTTTTCTTCACTGGAGGTGGGTAGTAGTTGTCCGAGTCAGATTTATAGGCTTCTTCTATCTCAATGACGCGATCCTTCACGTAGGACGAATAGATGAGGCAAACGATTGTAGGTGTGAAAAAGGTGCCCATCATAAAAAAACAGAATAGGTTATCTTGAGAATAGTTAAGTTTGCCGTATTGGCAGAAACACTTCTCTTGTACGGATTTTGTGTTCTCATCACCATTACTCTTGCAATGAAAATTTGCAATTTCTTGATATCTGATGGCAAAGACTGCTATAGAAAACACAGCTCCAAGGAAAATGTTGNAAATTCCTTTGGTCGATCAGGTTTTAAAATATTTTCATTATAATGTTTCTATGATTCTAATAATGAGTTAATATAAGTTCTGTTGTTGTTCTTTGATATGACTGGCTTCTTTTAAAAGATGTACGTTCCGGTCCATTTCTTTGACAAGTCAATAAATTTCGTGTCGGAAGGCGTTCAATTTCAGATTCCCTAGAAGCAAAGTCTCCTTTCACTCTCGGGGAGAAGACAAAGAAGACGATATCTTACGATATCTTTAACTACTGCATGAAGAAGATTCATTTACAAGACCGATTGAGTTTTATCACCAGTCAGTTTTATTACAACTATTGAATGTCGCGCATTTTGAGTTTTCTGATACAAACTCTGAATATATAATTTGAAATATATACACAGTGAAATCGATATGATTGATTATAGTTTTTTAGAGAATGCATGAACTCTCACAGATGTATCGCTGATTATGCGTGTTGTAATGTTCTATTGTAATTTGTTTGACTTCGTAAGATTATCTTCTGATCTGCAATTTATCAGGGGTTTGGTAAGAGTCTTTGATCAGTATGCATCATTTTCTAAAATAGTTTGTTAAGTTATAGTGTTATAGTTTTTATGATAGTTGCCTAAGTAGCATGCAAGTAATGCAATGCCAATGAAAACTCCGTGTGCATGCGGTCTTGAATTATGAGCAACGGTGAATAAACCGAATAAATGTCTGTGGTATTATAACTCTTTCGTTTTTCCGGGGTTGAAGCGGAAAATTTTGTACATCGAGTTGAAATGAGATCTCTCACGAGTGAGCTTAGAGAAAATTTTCAAAACGAGAAAATAGCAACCTTTCGAAAGAGAGAAGTGTAAGTATTTCATAGATAGTTATATAACAAACAATTTTTCTACAAGTATTTTATATTCTTCTACTGAATCTGGGATTCCCAATTCCTCTTTTTTTCTTCAAATAATCTATAATCCAACTTTTTCCCTCCGTATTTTACAATATTTTCCTCTAGTATGCCAAATTCCGCTTGAACTCCCGAATTTTGTTTATCAGTTGTTTGAACCAAGAGATTCTTCCCAACCATAAGATGCTGGAATGTGCAGGTATTTTGGGCAAAATACCGAATCGTATTTATATTTGTAACTTTTTCGTAGTTTGTAAATAAGATAGCTGCTTTCCAAAAATGAAAAAAGCGCAAAAAATATTTGCAAAACCACTACGAATTCTAGCAACTGCTTATTCCTTGGTCCGACAGGATTAACACATGGCAAATGGGAATTATCTTGCCAATGGCATGAAAAGTGGGATAGAAAGCTTCCATCGTGATGCCAAATTAGTTGTAATATCGCTGAAAAAGTTATCCTCAGAATGAATCGAACGGTTAACTGGGATAAGCAACAACAGAAGACGCGAGTGTTTTTCATCCCTGGAGGTGGGTAGTAGTTATCCGAGCCACATTTATAGGCTTCTTCTATCTCAATGACGCGATCCTTCACGTAGGACGAATAGATGAGGCAAACAATTGTAGGCATTAAAAATGCGCACATTATAAAAAGAGAAAATAGGCCATCTTGTGAATAGTTAACTTTGTTGTATTGGAAGAAACACTCATGCTGTATGTACTTTGTGTTGTTATTGCCATAACTCTTGCAACGGAAATAATCAATTTCTTGACATCTGATAGCAAAGGCAGCCGAAGATATAACAACTCCAAGGAAAATGTTGACAATGAAACTGACCCTATCTCGATGTCCCAAAAATAGGGTTATGCTTATGATCTTCATTATTCCAATCGGCTTGAGTTTACTCAAATTAAAATTCTCTAAAGATCTGTTGGTTGTAGTGTATCCCTTCAAAGTACTGTACAAAATCCACTGTGACACTTTTTCTTTAAATCAAATAATACCAATGCATGAAAGTATACATTAAAGTTCTCTGAACTTGTATTGGCTGTCGGTCCATCCTTTAAACTTCACTTTGTTTCAAGTCCCAATGACAATGTACGGAACCATTCTCCATTAAACTGAAGATGACATACCCATGATTAAAAAGTTCTTTAAACTTTTGAAACGCTTGAAACAGACGTTTGTCATCAAACATTAATGAGTCGGACGATATAAGGTTGGCAATGTTTTCAGTTCTGATCCTTCAATCATAGCGTATTGTGATCACCATTGCATCCAAACATTGCTTTTTAACAATAAATATGCTTTGATTATGTTCTATCAAAAATTCAATGCTACTACACCATAGCTACCGTAGCTACCACTAAACATAATTTCAAAACAGTCCGCTTCAATGTTAATATAATTCGATGCAACCATTTCAAAAATGTCCGTCGTTTTAATTTAGCCTAGTTCTTAGTTGTAATGCACAATAACCTGACTCGATTGCTACTTGATTAGTATACTATAACATTGCTATTTGAAGATTATTTGCGATACTTCTTCTGTATACTCTTATGAACTTTCCATTAAACTTAACTTAACTTCCATTAACTTAATAAATCCGAAATCAAACTACAAAATAGCGATTGATTGTGGGAATGAGTGTTTGCAGAAGGGGTATGCACCATGCACCCTTGTGTAGATATAGGTCAGTTGCCGCACAATACTTTATTGTAATTTTAATTAATGATACAAGACATTTTACATTATAAAAGGTTAGGACGTCGAATTGCAGCCATTGGACTACAATTGTCGAGTCTTTACACTAGAGAGTCCATTGTCAATTATACATCGGCCACATAGTAATTTTGATGGAGTTTGTTACAGTCTTTTAAGTTGCCATTGGATTTCTTTGCATCCATGTATATGTGGTAGGATTGTTTATCGAGCTGCTCGAGTCCATGATCGTCGTGCATTGTAGTAAAATAGTTTGATAAAAGTTGAAACATGCAATGATCGTGAGATTTTCGAATCAGATTAATATAGTGGTTGATCAAGGATTAGACGAGTCTATCTCTTTAGTTGTTAGTGCAGATAAGAACATTTATCTTCTAAATTATGTGACGTTGTTACGATCAATCCTCCAGATGATGTATTCCTGTTCAATTATCTGAATCCAACGAAATATGCAGATAGTTTTGACAAAAAACAGAATCGTGATATTCCTCCTTTATACATTTACAAACAAGATATATGATTTCAACCAATAGAACAACTGCAAAAACTACGTGCAAGACAGTAATGAAAGATGAAAAATTCTGTTTTTCGTTTGTGTCCGAACTGACACAGGGTACGCTTACATTACTGTCTTTCAAGTGACAAGAAAATTTCGATGTACAAATTTCAGGGTAAAAAAACTTGCCCTGCAATACCGTAACCGTCATCCTCAACAAGTAGCGAATGTACAACTGAATGAAGTAACAGGGGAAGACGCGTTTCCACTTGTCCAGGTTTGAACTTGCTGTGGTGTTGCCTTGCTGTGCAGACTTGAGAGCAGATTTTACCTGATTGACGCGGCTTTGTACAACGGCAGCATATACCATACAAACGATTGTTGGTACAAAAAAGCTGATTAGAACGAATATCCACGGAGTAAATGGAGAATTACACTTCTCATCGTATTGAGTGAAACAACTTGATTCTATCAATTCTAGATCTTTGTCGGCTTTACCCCTAACGTTTCCGCACTTAAAATTATCAAATTCGCGGCTTCTGATTACACCGGCAGCAACTAAAAGAAAAATTCCAAAGACGACATTGACAATGGCAGTGACTGTATCTAGATGACCAAGATTTGCCTTTTCAACCAAGTAATCGAAAAAAATGAAATGAACCATGTCTGGTCTTCAAACTTTTTAAACTTCTTTTCGATAGAAACAGACGACTTGATTCAAATATTCATTATTCATTATTTATTAATTTTTATTTTCATCATGTTTGGTTATGTTTTGATTTATTCCTCCAATGGATGGTGTTAGCGCTATTCTTGAACTGAATAACGAAAGAGCTTAATAATTGATAATGAAGTATGAACAAAGCCTAGCAATACAATCATAATTGTACACCAGCGTTTCATAATCCGGATTATTGATCACCACTGCGACCGTATCTATTCGATAATGTCATGGCTATCAATAAACCGCAAACTTTTTAAAAAATTATATTCCAGCCAATATCTTTATAACTTTACCAAAAGAAAAAAATCTCAACGAAGAAACTATTGATAACATAGCTAACAAACACGCAAAACTTTAAAGATTGAAGACGTCAGTTCTTCTTGTGCAATCAGAAGGCGTTGTCTTTTCTCAAACTATGTGTACGTACAATAATAGTCACTTGTCTGACTACAAAATAGAAACATTGGCTTATCTTAGATCTTGCAACTTTAGTGATTACTCTGTTCAATGGTAAAAACAGAAGCTATCACTGGATAGTGAGAGTTTTTTATTAGCAGTTTTAGATATGTAGGACGCAGTCGTTGACTGCGCATGCTTGACGAATCTGTGCTGCACCTTGTCTTGTAAATTTATTATTACGCAGATTTAGCAAATTTAACTTGAAATTCGTATTTTGTACCATGTCACAAATACTCTTGACACATTCGTCAGTGACCTCGATTTCTTCCAAGTTCAGCTTTGTGAGCTTGCAATCTTGGTGGACGAGTGCTTGGCATAAGCTACTAATTCCCTGTACTTTAACGCGAGTTTTTATGAGATTTAAATCATTAACTTTGCAGTTTTCATGGATAAGAATTTCGCAAAGCATTGCAAGACCTTCATCTGTGATTTGGCTATTCCAAAGGCATAATACAGTCAGACAGCACGATTCATGGGTAAGGGCTTGGCGTAACTGCTGAAAAGCATGGCGTTCATGTGGGTGGGAGTCGGCGTATGCAAGAACACCAAGACTTATACGTATTTCGTTCAGCTTACAGTTAGGGTGATGAAGTGCCTCACATAGGACTGTTAGTTTGTTATCTGTTAAAACAATGCCATGGAGGTCTAACACACGGAGTTTGCAGTCTTCACTCTTAAGAGCATCAGAAAGGTATGATAGACCTATAAAAGCAAAAATAGAAATCTATCGACTTGTGAACAGTCAGTGTGAAGGGAATAGCAGTGAAATTAATTAGTGGAAAATATGGTGGAAACTATTTGAAAAAAGTATATAAAACAGTTCCAATATCGTGGTATTTTTGCCCTCAGACGAGCGGAAGCGAGGTAAGTACGCGCAGAAACACTTTGATATCTCCAAGGAGGTAAGACAAGTGAATAAATAGGACATAAATGAATGGATGTATGAAAATTAAATTTAGAAACGAATGGATGAAGCGAGGTAGGACAACACTTTCAATAACATATAACGATGAAGAAAATGGATAATGATAATAAGGGTATAGATGCAAATAGGAATAAAATATCTCTACCTTGATCTGTAACATCAGCATTGCCTCCAATATCTAACTCGGTGAGCCTACAATCCTTCATTGCAGCAGCTTCCACCAAGTTTCGCAGACCTTGATCACTAACACCACAACGTGAAATGTTTAGTTTAGCTGGACCTCCGCACTGAACCATCTTAGCAAGTTCTAAACATCCAGTATCATCAAGGTTGCTGTTGGACTTTAAATCAAGTGACCATTCCAAATCTGTTTCAAAGTGATTTAAGAAATAAACCACGGCCGCACAATCGATAGGCGTCATACTACAGCAGCGAAGCTCAACCCCTTTTTCTGCAAAGTGCCCATGTGAGGTAAAAGCACTTGCAATTCTCTTCGCGACTTCATCGTCGTTCAATTCATATAAACATGTTAGCATAAGTATTGCGTTGCAACCTTCTGTACTTCCTGGTAATGGTTCTGTCATCAAACTCTCAATAAGGATGTCCTCAATAACTTCAGTTACCTCGTTATACAAGGGATGGCTGCGTTGAAGTAATCCGGCTATAAACTGAATCACAACATGCCAGTTTGCATCTTCTGCTTTGGCTTTGATAAAAGTTTCCAGATCGTGAGTTTCAACTTTCTCATCAATCAGGTATTTGGCGGATAGAAACTCTTGTATAGTAAGATGAATAAAGCAATACTGGGATGGAGGTCTTTGAAATAATTCAAGAAAATTCTTCTTTCCGCTTGAATGTCGAGGCATACAATGAAGAAGTCCACAACTGTCCAGGCAGCTGACTTCATCTTCTTCAAAGATCAATCGTCCGTCTTCGAGACCCTTGTAAGCTACCTCTCCAAGCTCAGCTAAAGGTTTTTGTAGCGTTTCGGAAAACGTACAACTGTCCGTCGACTTCCGCTTTGTCTGTTCCTTTCCTCGATAATGATTGGATAAGAATATCTCAAGAGCCTGTTGATATACTTCAGTAAGCCTCGTGAATGAGTTAGTTGTCGATTCCTGGCAAGTGTTTTCATTTTTCATGTGATGATCTAGTAAAATGCATACAATTTTGCAGGTGACAGGAATGTAGCACAGATAACGGAGATTGATGTTGGAATGGATCTGTTGCCACATGGTTTCAGCTTTAGCGGAGTCACCGCCGCAATACGTTTTTACATAGGAATGTACTTTATCAGGAGTAAATCCTAATATTTCTAGTTCTCTACCGTTACAATTGTTGCCACAGAAAAGTTTCCATATGCCGGCCGTTTCAACCACATTGGGTCTAGTGGTTAAGACTATCTTTGCTCCAGGAAGAAGTTTGTTTTGTAAAAGTTTGACCAGGAAGGCGGAAACAGGGATTTCATTACTTACATCATTTCCAGCGCAGTTTTCTGCTTCAATCAAACAGCTGTCATGAGCATGAAACTCGTCAAAACCGTCAAATATGATTAAGACTTTGCTAGCATTGTTCACAATATATTGCAAATCCACATCTCCTGATTTCAAATCTGCTTTTTTTAGAAAATGCTCCAGCGTCATTTTTGTTGTTAACTCAGAATTCAGCTGTCGAAATCGAAACAAAAATACAGAAGTGAATTCCTGCAATAGTTGGCCTCGTAATGATTCCCGTAAAAGCATAGTGCATAGTAACGATTTTCCAATTCCTGGACGACCGACAACAAGAACCTTTAAAATCGAGTCATCAAAGAAATCTGCATGCTTTCCGATAACTGAGTTTTCAGGAATTCTAAGATGGACGTTTAAATTTTCATGCCGCTTAGCCTTCTCGAAGTGATGAATGACTCTTCCAGAATGAATGATCACGTCCACGTAGATATCATCTACCTCTTGTTTTTCGACCCTTTGGCCCGGTTCTCCAGTGTTTATCTCAATCAGAGCTTCCTCGAATTTCGTCTGTTCAAGAATTTGTGTTCGGTAAATCAGGACAGTTTTTTTCATGCGTAGAAGATACCTTTCACAAAACTCAGAGTCAGTTATGAAATGTTTTCCTGTCATGCAGACTTTATAAACAAGATACAAAAGTTCCGATTTGATTAACAATACAAGCGTTATCTGTACGCCAAACATCACGTTTACCCAAAATGACTTCTCTGACCCGACGGAATTATGGCAGTTTCCAATATCAACGTCGTATAAATTGGAATCTGTAATATTGTCTCTCTCGTCTCTTTTTCTCAAGAAATTTAATTCACACCGAAACTCTACCGGAAAACGTTGATGATAATGCATTTGAAGTATTATTGTGTGTATAATTCCTAGTACAAGGCGCATAAGCAACTGTGCGAGATAACAACTAAAGACTCGTTTCGTTGTTTTCCTTGGTACATAACTAGGGTTTTCTGGGTCAGGCTTGGAAGCCTTTTCAACTTCATCAGTTCGAG